GCAACCGCCATCTTGAAACCTCGCGCCCCGCCACCGTCCCTACGTCACTTCCTCTCCCCGTGGGCCCGAGATCTCAGTGTTTCTCGGCCCTGGAAATGTAGCGCGTAACCAAGGACTCCACGGCTGGAGTCGCTTCCGCTCCAAGACAGAACCCAATTGGTTGGTTATCTGCTAAGAGCCCGCCCTAAGGTTACGCAGTACAAAGACGCCAAGTTGATCGACATTTCTGTACGCCAATAGGAATAAGAAAACGAGCCAGCTCGGATATGATTGGCTGGTGTAAAGACGGCCCTGTCTCTTGGGCCCAAGGTATTCTAACCTAATTCCGGTTGCTTAATTGATTGCTTTAGACCGGCGGATTCCACACTGAGAGGTGTGTTGTGGTGTTTCTGCGTCCCGGAGTTGTATTGGTTCTGGGACTCTTTTTTTTTTTCTTTTCATGACGTAAGCTAGTGTGATCTTTTAGGAGTATCTGTGTGGAAACGAATCCCCGAATATATATATACATTTGCTACTGTGTTTTGCCAGCGTCATGTCCGTCTGGAAGTTCAGTAGTCGTTTGTAGACATGAGCGAATGAATCAGTGCCCTTATCGGAGTCCCAGATTGCTGGTCTACAGGATTACTTTTTGGAAGGGAAGTGTGGAGATACATGTACTATCAGTTTTAAATTTACGACACCAGTCCCCAATCCTGTGTGATGTCACTGCACGTAGGCGATTATTCCCTTAGTTCTAGTGTTCGGAGGTTCTTTCTTTCTCTTCCATCCGCTCTTTCTCTAAGACTCCTCCTCTGTCATTTCCTCTTAAAGGTAATTTTAAATACTTAAAAAAAATTCTCCCCTTAAAGAATACACTTGTTTATTTCGGATCTTAATCTGAATATTCCTTATAGGAAAATGTTAGATATAGGTCAATTCCAACAATCCGTTATCAATATTCTAAAATACTGGTGGAGATGTTAATGATTAGTAGAATATTTAAATGTGCACTTAGCTGTTTAAGATTGGTCCTTTATCTGAACTAACCTTCGTTTTAGGAAATTCTTGATTTGGTTTTAGACTGACTTGAGTCTCAGAAAGAACAGTAAAACGATCTTGTAGTTTCTAGCTTATAAACCAGATAATAAACAACACAAATATTTAATATTGAAGGTGAACTAAATTGTGATATTTTTGAACTAATATTAAAAATCAATGATAGGCCGAAACCGGTTTGGCTCAGTGGATAGAGCATCGGCTTGCGGACTGAGGGGTCCCGGGTTCGATTCCGATCAAGGGCATGTACCTGGGTTGCGGGCACATCCCCAGTTGGGGATGTGCAGGAGGCAGCTGATTGATGTTTCTCTCTCATCGATGTTTCTAGCTCTCTATCTCTCTCCCTTCCTCTCTGTAAAAAAATCAATAA